AAATGTCGGTTCCTGGTCTCTGATTTTTAAAATAAATTTCCCTCAGAAAATGCAACTTAGATGTTTTTTTTCTTCTTCATTACTCATTTTTTGGCTGGTGCGACTTATACTCCGGAGCGGCTTATAGTCCAGAAAATACGGTAAGTTGTTTTCAGCGAATATAACATTTTCAAAACAATAAAAAGTATCTAAATATGTTATGTGTTAGCAGTCAATACCCCATAGAAGTGTCATAGCCTCTCTTTAATTTATTTTAATAGTAGACAAATAAAGGGAAGGAAGCTCAGATCATACAGCGCCTTGCCTTCTTCTCATTATTTCTATATTGTATTCCTTTGCGTTTTATTATTTCAGAAATGGTCTGAATAAGGACATGACTTAATCTTGGAGTAATCTGCAGCCTGTTTGACTTTCCACCCACAGCTCCACGCTTGATTTGTCAGAGCAGCCAGTTTTTATTACGAGACAGCACTTTGTTATAGAGCGCCTGCCAAAAATGTGCTACAACTCCTGCTTCATCTGTTTTGATTTGGGACGGTCTGAACATGAGAAATAGAAATGCTTCCTATGGGTGACTGCTCAATGTGTAACCACGGAAACGCACTTTTGTCCACACTGCACATGCATAAAGTCTACATCATGTAAGTTTACAGTTATGCAAACATATATGAGGAAATGGCCTCGGGTGAACTGCAATACAAAGGTAATGGGGTCTCAAACTGTGGTGGGCGTACTTCTGGTGAAATCCTTAGGTTTTGGGTTCTGGGGTTATTTTGTTCAATTTAAAAGTGAAATATGGCTCATTTTAACCATGTTATAACAGTATTATCCTCAGTATTCGCTAATTCAGAGTAGGGATTCAGCGATCCAGCTTTTTCAGTCCACATACTAATATCAATACCGTATTTTTTGGACTATAAGGCGCACTTAAAATTCTAAAATTTTCTCAAAAATCGACAGTGTGCCTTGTGTATTAATTCTGGTTGTGCTTACTGACCTCGAACTGATTTTATGTGGTACACGGTGCCCAAAAATCTGTCAAAATGTTTTAGAACGACTTTGGCAAACTACGAAGCCGCACCGTTTGATGGATTGTCAGAGCATTACGGCTACTGTAGTCAGGAGCCTTGCAGAGTTGTGTCGTTTAGTCCGACAGAGGCTGAACCGCATCAGCGCACAAGGAAGCAGCTATATTTTTGGGGGGTTTTTCAGCGCTTATAGGCAAGGCAAGGCAAGGCAAGTTTAACTGTATAGCACAATTCGTACACAAAGTAATTCAAAGTGCTTTACAGAATAAGAAATACATTAAAATCATAATAAAAACAAATAAAAACATAAATAATCATAAAGATTAAAATTAAAAAAGAGAGACATAAATTAGAGAGAAGAGTGCGGAATGAAAAATAGTTTATGCAAATTAGCTGTTGAAGCCAGTTTATATTAATTTCAGAAATTATTCTTTTGATGAATTTATATAATATTAAAATGCTTGTTTCTAGAATTTTTATTGTAGGTTATCCTGATCTCCTCTCCCCTCCCCTCCTCCTGCAATCTGGTATATCTTGTCACCTGTAGCAGCAGGACGGGGAAGGTAGTGCCCGTAGAGAGGAGAAGATACTATTTTGTCTATATTGCAAGAGAAAGTCAACCATGGAGAATATTATTTTTTTGTTCTTTAAAATAAATGGATAAATGGATCTGGATCTCCGCGAGTTCTTATTTTTTTACGTGAGTTACAAACAAACAACATTAGCCATGTGGTTTTAAGTTTTGTTTCTGTAAAATGTAAATACATGTGCACAAAGCTGCATCAAACACATTATTACTCAATGTATATTTGAGTCCTCCTCCAAGGAAATAAAAAAAAACTAACAAAAAACTTAAATTATCCACTGACAGTCACATTGATAATACACGATCACCAAGACAGGGAGGCAACACCGGGCAAATTATTTATTTATTTATTTTAGATTTCAGTCTCAAGTGTCCATTTGTTTCACTTAATGAGTCTTATAATCTGGTGCGCCTTATGTATGAAAATAGACGAGAGAATTCAACATTATTGATATTGCGCCTTATAATCCAAAAAATACGGTACTTTGACTTTAAGTAACTGCCAATACCCGATGTTAACTGATAACAATGTAGGGACGGAAAATTACATTTATTTTCTTAAAACACAGTTAACTTATTATACAAGAGAATCAATTATGTTGTGTAACGGTTGTTAATCCTTCAAATAAATTAGTGAATGGTTTTGTATTCCAGGCCTAAATCAGCCTGTAAAGACTCTGATTACTATTTTGTCTAAATAAAGTATTTTTTTTTCAGTATTGGTGCCGATATTTGATACCAGTATGTTCCTTGTCTACAAATGAACAAAGCTCTGACCTTCCGCACATTTTTCAAAACAAAATAGTTTGTATTTTTGCACAAACAGGCTGAAGTGCGTCTGTCTACCATGTTTGTTTTGGTTCATTTGGGTGCTTCGGCTTTGGCTTCTGCACAAACCTCAATGCTGCGTCGTGATTTGTCCACCCGCCCGATCATCCTGACAGCGAGAGTCTCTCAAGATGGAGGAAGATGAGCTCACAAATAACCAAACAGAGAAAAACCCTGACCCCAACCCTTTTATTTGAATCTGTTTTAGATTAAAAGTTACATACTGTGGTTTTAAAATCAGACGTTTTAAATCTGTAGTGGTTTACAATTAACAAAATGCGAAATAATTATCTATATGTTACACTATACTAAATAAAACCCTAAAAAGGATCATTTGTTCTCTTTAAAAGTCCCTGCTTAATTTATGGTTTAGCTCCAGGTTTAGACGTGATTTAGTCCAGAAATGTTTTGGTGATCTGGTATCTGGTTTAGTTCTCATATTTTGTACTTTTTTATCCTATATAATTGAGTTTTAGTCTTTGTACTGACTTGAATTAGTCTTGGTTTAGGCCTGGTTTTAGATGTGGTTTAGATCTGATGTAGACCAGATTCATTTATATTTTAGGGTTATTCATGATTTTAATCTTATTTCGAGCCCACATTCATCCTGTTTAACATCTGGTTTTGCTAAGGTTTAGTCCTGGTCCAGTTCTTGCTTAGACCTGTCTCTGTATTTTCAGTACACCCACTTAAGACTGAGGATGGAATAATAATCGAAATATCATGATGGGCTGCAGCAGTAGCTAAAAAGAGGACAGGGAACTACATAGACCATGATCCTTTGCTGTATCAGTGCAGACTACATGAAGAAATCTTTGTATTATAACAGTACCAAAGGCTTTTCAATGCATTTTAAGGGAAAAAGTTGCATATTTGGTCAGCCCCCACAAAATATTCCAGACCTGGTTTATTCTTTTTCATGTTTTGACCATTAGGGCTTATCCACACGACAATGACTTTTGGCCGATACACTGAAGTTTTTATTTGTTTTGACCTTTAGTCCACCTGGAACCGGTGTTTTGGGTGGGCGAAAACTGTGTTTTTTGAGAACGGGTTCCAGAGTGGCGAAATCTGAGAACGCCGCTATTGCATTGTCCTGTGGTCAAGCAAACCGCCGCTTTTGGAAAACGATGACGTCGCGATCCCGTCATCGCCAGGTTCCTCTGATGCTGCAGCCCTGAAACTAGCCCCCGCGGACTGCAAGAGCGACAGGTGTAGTCGACGGAGCCGCACCGAAACACGTGCTAATGCCAACAACACGCACCACGCAGATTACGCACACAGATCAATAACAAAGATTACGCACGAGCAGTGTTGGGGAGTAACAGATTACATGTACCGGGATTACGTAATCAGAGTACAAATTATGAGTAACTGTATTCAGTTACAGTTACTGTTTCAGTGAGTGATAATTGGATTACAGTTACTTTGTTGAAATAAATGGATTACAGGGCGGTATTTTCCGTTTTCACATTTTGGGCTAAACCAGGACTAAACCAGGACTAAACTAGGTCTAAAAGCAGGACTAAAGCAGGACTAAACTAAGACTAAACTAGGACTAAAACTAGGACTAAAACCAGGTCTAAAACCAGGAGTAAACCAGGACAGACTAAACCAGGTCTAAAAGCAGGACTAAAGCAGGACTAAACAATATGACACCTAACATTAGGTTGGACATAATTTAAAGCAGCAGTGATCTCATATAAAAATCATTTCTCTATCAGTAATATTTTTTATACGCTTAAGTAAAGACTGGGCTTTTTATTGTCTTTTAGCAGAAAAAACAAAATATCTTATGTTAACATATCCTGGTCTTTGTTTCTCTACAGCAAACAGTTGCTTATTCATGGAGACTTGGGCTCAACAGACAATTTGAAGAGAACAAACAAGAATTTTCAGGATGTGGTTGTTATATTCCTGTAGTTTTAAAAGTAAGACAATATCAAGTAATCCAAAGTATTCAGATTACGTTACTCACTTTAAGTAATTTAATGGATTTACGTTACAAACTACATTTTGGGGTATGTAATCTGTAATCTGTAGGGGAATACATTTTAAAAGTCACCTTCCCAACACTGCGCACGAGTAATTAAACTGTTGGATTTGGAGACCATGTTATTCTAATAATTCTCATCCAAATCTTATGGCTAAAAACGAAAACTTATGTTTAATTTTTGCAAAACAAAATGGCAATATTTCTGGGATACATCTAAAATCAGCTAAATGACCTTAAAGTTTAAAAAACAGTGATGAGATGTGCATAATTAAATATTATTATCATTGTTTACAGCGCCACATACAGGTGTGGCATATGTATTACATCGTTTTCACTCAGTGCTCCGTTGTTGTCTGGACGTGGATATTTATTGATCCGCAAATTTTTTTCAGCCCATAAAAGAAAAAATCCAGGAGCGTTGTCATGTGGATGTAGCCTTAGACTTGGGTTAGTCCTAATCTGTTCTCTATTTTTCCCCCTTTTTTGTGCATATTAAACCTAATTTTGAAGGAAGTATGAAGAGTTTGTTGAGTACAGAGAGCCTGCTGTTGGCGTGTCTTACCCTGGAGAGCCTCTTTGTTGTCCTGAAGACGTTCCAGTGTCTCGATGCCCATCTGCTCGAAAGCGGCGTTAGTAGGAGCGAAGAGAGTGAACTGCCCTTTCTCGCCGAGTTTCTCCATCAACTCTGCGTTTTGAAGGATGTCCTACAGGGGGCAGCGCAAGTAGGTTCAGTCAGCTGTGAGTTGAAACTGTAAAGGGCGTCTATAATCCAGTTTATAGCTGGGTTTCACGTGACGTCACAGGGCTTACGTTTGTCAGCACGCAAAATCAGATGGAGGGCAGGAAGTGAACTGACTGGAGGAAAATGCCGATGTGTTGTGTAGTTTACGGCTGTGCCAATCGTTCTAACCGAGAGAAGGAAAAGCGATTTTTTTAGAGTACCGAATATAGTCGTCCACAAAGGTCAGAAATGGGAAAAGCCGACAGAACAACGCCGTAAAAAAGTGGATTACAAACCTGTTTGCGGTCGGGAGGAGCAGAATTCGCTCATGCTCGTGTCTGCGGTGACCACTTCCTCAAAGGTTTGTTACAAAGCTAAATAGTTTTTTGTGGTTTACCTAAACATAAACGAATCTTTAACGACTAACGGCTAACGACGTTTGTTGACATGAAATAGTTCAGATAGAGGTTACTGCCGATACGCTGCAGTTTTTCCCATAACCGTCTATACACATAAAATAAGAGAAACACTCACCCCGGCGAAGACCAAACGATAATCATCATTTAGGCGTTTTGCACCAGGGTTGAGGACCCATCCACTGACAAAAAAAGTGATATGCCTCCAAACTTTTGTACGTCTTCATCTGTTGTCTGGTGTAGAACGATGTCTGAAGAGCTAAATAGTTCGTGATCTCCTCTGCCTCGATTGTCGGCAAATCTTTTACTTCGGTTGAAAATTCTCTCATTTTCAATAAGATCAGGGTCACGCCCAATATATTTGTCGACTAACTGCTCGTACTTTTGCCTCGCTACTGGCTCTAAATCCTTACAATAAGAACTCTTCTCCATATATCTGTGTTCTCCAGAGACGTGTTTGTCGTGTTTGTCTTCACTTCCTGCCCTCCACCTGAAATTCGCGCGTCATCGTGATCACGTGACTGAAACCCTCCCATTGAGAGAGAGCCTTGTACTCACACTGAGGGTGGTGAGTTCATCGTCCACCTCCACATAGGACTGGATGGTGTTGCCTGCGGCCTGGATCACTCTGTCGATCACGTGCACCACTCCGTTTGTGGCCACCTGGTTCCCGTGGATGATCCTGGCACAGTTCACCGTCACCACCTGCAGCATCAGAACAAGAGTTTTCTCACCACACACTCATTAAAGTCCACATAAAACGCTAAATGGACTCTTGTGAGCTTTCAGACATGCTATAAAGCTGTTACCTTCTCAAAAACAGACCTGGATTTGGTTTTGTTTCATTCACACATGTTGAAGTAACACTTTATTATTAGTCTGTCTACATCTCCAAACCTCAAAATGCTCTGTTCCACCTTGTGACGTCATCAAGCTCCTTTTACCTTTAGTTCAGTAGAGATTGGAAATTCTGAAATGATCCAAATGTTTCTAGTGAAGGCAAGTTTTAAAACACAATGGAGCACTTCCTGTATTACCACATGACATCACAAGGTGGAGCAGAGTATTTTCCATTTGAGAGAAGAACATATGGCGTCAAAAAGGGTCCGACAAATCATAGCTGATGCCTTGTCCCGGATGTAAGTATTTTTTTTACTCTTGGGGGGAGTGTTACAGGCCCTGGCCCTTTGTTTTTTTTTTAGTGTGCTCCCGTTCTTCTCTATTTGCTTTTGTGTGTGTGATGAGATCGGCCCGCGAGCCCTGGACCCGGATGAGTGGAAGCACCGGACGCCGGCTGGGCATCGCGTCGAGGATTGGCCGCCTTCCGCCCCCACCAATCCGCAGATGCCACCTGTGGAAGCGCGGGCTATAAAAGGACAGTCTTCCGCCTGCTTGGGGCGGCTGGATCCCTGCGGCCAGCTCGCCCTTTTGTTTGATTAATTTTTGGTTGTGTCATTTTGTTTTTCGTTATAATCCCGGCTGTTGCCTCTGTTGATTTCGTTGAGACACCTTGTTTTCGCAGTGCTTTACTTAGATTTTGTTAAGGTGTACTTAGTTAGGGCTCCTTAGTAGATTATTTTGTTTAAATCCTTTTTATTTTCTCTCCAAATTTCTGTGCTTTTTTTTTTTTTTAAACAAGTGTGAATGAAAGAAAACACAACTCCAGGTCTGTTCACGATGAGGAAATAACAAAGATCAGAAAATAGTGTAATATATTAAATTAATATTCTTTACACAAACAGTTACAGCACATTATTAGAACAAATGAAACCAATCTTATGTAGTTGTTTTGGAGATTTTATGACCCCATCTGTCCTTCAGCAGTTATTTTAGTGCTAATGGTTAATCTCATCCAGAGACAAACAAGTGTCTGCAGCTGATTCAGAACACAGTTATTTGTGATCAAATTATTCCCCTGACACTAGAAAGTCCAGGGGTTCATATTTTATTTTGTTATTCAAAATAATTCACAAGTATTCGGGTTAGGGTTAGTTGTGATTTAGTTTTAAGGGCCCATATTACATTATTTTCTGATTTATGTTATAATGTTTCCTCATCACAAACAGACCTGGAGTTGTTTTTGTTTCATTCACACATGTTTAACACACAAACCCTGCATATTAAGGCCGAGTTCTTCTCTCAAACAGAAAACACGCAGTTCCACCTTGTGATGTCATGTGATAATACAGGAAGTGCTCCATTGAATTTTTAAACTCCATACACCTTCACTAGAATCACTAGATAATTTCAGCCCAGGAATTTCCAATCTCTACTGAACTAACGGTAAAAGGTAGCTGAAAACTACCACTTTATGACATCACAAGGTGGAACAGAGCATTCTGATTTTTAGAGATGGAGACGGCCCAATAATGCAGTATTACTCAAACATGTGTGAATGAAACAAAACATAACTCCAGGTCTGTTTTCATCAGGTCACAACTAGGGATGGGCATTTGATTAAATTTTCTTAATCGATCGTCGGGAGAATTAACGATCGATTATCAATTAATCATTAACGTTTTTTATAGTAAAGTTTATCATCATTATTATTACTATCTGCACTACTAATCTGCATAAATAAATTCAACTTTACGACATATAAACCGTAACGACTCTAGAGCCACATCAGCCCGTTTGACATTATAATGTGTTTAATTCAGTTTTGAGTAAGTCTCACAGAAACTTAAAACCGCATCGCTAATTTGCATAAATTAAGCAAAGGAAATAAAACAGCTCTTGTGTCGCTGATGCGGTTCAACTTCTGTCGGAATTAAAGACATGACTCAGTGGAATACAGGTTAGTGTGACCATATTTGCGTTTGTCAAAACCAGGACACCGTACGGGGGGAGGGAGGTGGAGACTCGTCATCGACATTGCGCGACTCTCACCTGGCAAAACTTTTTCCCACTGGACACCGAAACATATGTGCTGCTTTGTTCACTGTGCACATGGACTCACACTTGTCCCGAACACAACGGAAAGTGTGGAATTTCTTGTACAAATCATCGTTAAATACACATTTGCGCTTCGGTACGTTGCAGACTGACCGACTGTTTGTGTCTCGCTCCTTCTGAGTGGAGAGAGACACATGTACAGACCCCCATTTGGTCACTCTACGCTACACACAGCGACCTACATTCAGTTTATTGATGAAAATGAACGTAATCGATGAAATTCTTAATGATCAATTATCGATTAATCGACTAATCATGCCCATCCCTAGTCACAACACTGTAACATGTCTTAATAATTTCACATAATATAGGATTTTTGAAGCACTGTTCGTGTCTATTTTAATTCCAAATGTTAAAAAACAATTTAAGACACATATCGTTAGCCTCATAACATAATTTTTCATAATTTTGGAGGAAAAATACAACAATAATGGATGTGGATGTAGTCAGAGACACCTACAGACGCAGCAGGATCTGGAGAGACTTGTTTTGAAATAGCCTAATAAAGTTTTTCCGTCTACCCTCGTGCTCATATTTCATGGGTTCAGATAAGATAAGCGAGCTCTGTGGAGAGGCGCTCTCACCCCGTTGGGATAGTGGTTGATGTGGAGGCCCAGGTCTTGGTACATGGAGTTGATGGTCATGCCGTCCTTCAGGTCCTTGGTCAGGAAGCGCTTGTTGGCCATGTGGTAGTGCAGGGCGTTGTACAGCTCGATGTTCACGTTGCTCACCAGATTATTCCTGACCTCCTGTTACACAAAACACACGCAAATCTCAATCTGAAATGAAGACTTTTGTATATTAATATATAGAGGTGAGACAAGACGATTTTTATACACCACAAGATTGAGTCCAAGACGAGATTTTGACATAATTTGTAATAAATAAGTAGTGTAATTCATTTCACAATTTTGGCTTCAGTATTTTTATTTATTTTACGCCTTAGCGGTCATTGTAGTACTGATTTTTTAAACTACAGCTTCACAAATTGTGTGTCTCACCAGCTCTTAACTCTTTTTTTTAATCCAAGCCAAAGGTAAATTTAAAAGGCAAAAATCTCACAAGATCGTTTTTCTCATGTGTGCACAATCTGTCGTGGTTTAGTTGTGGTTTAGTTGTGGTTTAGTCCTAGATTAGTCCTGGATTAGTCCTGGTTTAGTCATGGTTTAGTCATGGTTTAATCCTGGTTTAGTCATGGTTTAATCCTGGTTTTAGTTCTGTTTTAGTCCTGGTTTAGATCTGGTTTTAGTCCTGGTTTAGTCCTGGTTTAGTCCTGGTTTAGTCCTGGTTTTAGTCCTGGTTTTAGTCCTGGTTTAGACTGGTTTTAGTTCTGTTTTAGTCCTGGTTTAGACCTGTTTTAGTTCTGTTTTAGTCCTGGTTTAGTCCTGTTTTAGTTCTGTTTTAGTTCTGGTTTAAATCTGTTTTTAAACCTGGCTTAGTCCTGGTTTAGTTTTAGACCTGGTTTAGTCCTGGTTTTAGTTCTGCCCACGCGGCGAACGGGAGGAGGTATTTAATCTTTTTTATTGCCTGGAAGTATTGTTTTATTTCGTTGTTGCTGTGATGATCTTTTGGTTTATTTTGAGTCCATTTGGTTTTGCGTGATATGAGTCTTTCTGAGAAAGGAAAGATCTTTGGGAATTGAAGAAAAACACGATCACCAGGATGTCCGGTTTTGGTCCAGATGAGCTGCTGTATGCGGGTCCAAATATTTGTTTCAGTTTCGTCGCAGTTGTAATCAGTGTTTAATTTGAATCTTTCTACAGATTATTCCTGTTCCTGTTCAAAATACGCAAAATGAAAATTTTGTTACATTAATAGAGTAGGGCTGAATGATTGGTCACATGGTCAAAACTTTACCAACCACTCATTCATCATACACACGATATTTCACTGCATGGTGTATTTAAACTGTTTTAAAGGACCTTCAGACCAAGACCTCATCCCAGACTAAATCTTAAGACCTGGTGGTTTAGTCCTTAGAGTTTCCTGGTTTATATGTTTTATTTTAGTCCTTTCTTGTTTGGAGTCCTGGTTTAGTCCTAGTTTAGTCCTGGTTTAGTCCTGGTTTAGATCTGGTTTAGATCTGGTTTAGTTCTGGTTTAGTGGTTTAAGTCCTGGTTTAGTCTGTGGTTTAGTCCTGGTTTAGTCCTGGTTTAGATCTGGTTTTAGTTTTCCCCTGGTTTGTTTTAGACCTGGTTTAGTCCTGGTTTAGTCTTTAGTTTTGGTTTAGTCCTGGTTTAGTCCTGGTTAGTTTAGAGTTCTGGTTTAGTCTGGTTTTAGTTTAGTCCTGGTTTAGTTCTGGTTTACCTGGTTTAGTTCTGGTTTAGTCCTGGTTTAGTTCTGGTTTAGTCCTGTTTTAGTTCTGGTTTAGTCCTGGTTTACCTGGTTTAGTCCTGGTTTAGTCCTGGTTTAGTCCTGGTTTCCTGGTTTAGACCTGGTTTAGTCCTGGTTTGGTTACCTGGTTTAGTCCTGGTTTAGTCCTGGTTTAGTCCTGGTTTAGTCCTGGTTTAGTCCTGGTTTAGTCCTGGTTTAGTCCTGGTTTAGTCCTGGTTTAGTCCTGGTTTAGTTCATACTGAACTCTGATTTTGCTCTGTTTTAATGGAATATGCAAAAAAAAAAAAGACATTACAGAATCCAGTAGGTCCCAGGCGTCGTTGCTCGGGGCGAAGAAGGTGAAAGAGCCCGGTCCTTCGATCTCGGGTCTCAGTTTGGAGGTGTCTGCGTAGTTCTGAGTGGAGCTGGCCTTCACCAGAGCCAGGGTGCCGTAAACGTGGTCTATGGGGGCCACTGTAAAACACAAAGCACTTTTATACTCTGCCCATCACTAAAACAATAAAGCCGAGTGAACATGTGCGCACAATATGGCTGCTCTGGTCCATGTGATGGTTATGGCCGTGTTGTTTGGGCCAGTAAAAGGGGAAGATCAAACATCTGGAGGTCAACGGTGGAGCAAAGTAAAAGTAGTAAAGTACTGTACTTAAAGATGGACATGTCATTGCTCTGCCTGGAATGTTCCACAGTCTCTACCTTACATTTATTCAATTACAGGTGGTTTTATCGCTCAGAAATACCTAAAAAACAGGTATTCAACTGAAAGTGAGGTTGTTTTTTCACAGATCTGACCTGTAACCTGGTCTGGTTTGGTCTCCATGAAGATAGAAAGGTTTAATATCATACGGTGAAACATTCCAGACAAAGCAATAAACCATGAAACAAAGTATTTGACAAACCATCCACCAGAAAAGCACCTTTAAGTACGTATTTTAGGTATCTGTACTTTACTTAAGTACGTTTTAAAATGAACACTTTTTACTTTTACTACATGATATTTAAGAGCAGGTATCTGTACATTTTACTTAACTACATTTTAGATCTAGACTGAAAAGTAAAAGTATTTTTTTATTATTATTGAGCGAGACCCGCTGAAAAAGCTGAGTTTATTTTAACACATTCATAGTTCGATCAAACTAAAACTAAACAAATAAAGAGTGTAAAGAGCACAGATGTTGAGATCTAATAAAGCTTCAATTTGATTTTGATAAAGATTTGTGCTGAATTTTGTTCAACAGAAACAACTGAATTAATTGTTTTTTCACATAGATTTGATGTGATACTTTTAATTTTTCTTTTTCTTTTCTTTTTTGCTCCAGTATCTGTACTTTTACTGAAGTAACAAAACTGAGAACTTCTTCCCCCCTGCTGGAGGTCAGAGGGGAGGAGCCTGTACCCACCTGCAGGGCAGCCGGGCAGATTGTCCAGCTTCATGTACCCGGGGCAGCACTCGTACAGCACCGTCCTGTGGGCACACACACGAGAAGGTCACACGAAATACTACAGACATGACTTTTATTTTTCCAACACACGGTGATGTAGTGGATGTATGAAGTGTCTTTCAGCGTGTCCAAGCCACGTTTAATGTGAACTGTGTTTTCTGATGAAAGCTCTGCAAACCATCTTCTCTCCATGGAGAATGTCCCAATTTGTCCCATATTACGACATTTATCTCATCTATTTTAGATTTAAAAATCGAAATAATTATTATTTACTTTGCAATCCATTCACAATAACTCCATAGCATGGTCCTGTAACTTGGCAACCAAGATAAGTTTAAAGCCATACTGTGGGACAACACAATAACATCTTCGTGAAGACAGTGGAGGATCCTTCCCCTGAAAAGGTATCATGCCCCTTTAAATCACATTATGTGGTCATTTGTTCCTTTGTTGCATCAGCAGAGGTAAACTGTGCAGCCAGCTGCCCTGGGGCTGATGATGGAGACATGGCTGCTCTATGTGCATCTACCATCAAGACCAGAATCAGTCTGATAGAGTCAGAGGATATGAACCACAAATCTCCCAGTTAAAAGGCTTTACCAGCTCAGCCACTGTGTCCAACAACATCATATGAGGTGTTTGTTGTTTTAGGAAGCCACAATCACTTTCACTGTACAGTGTCGCCTAAAGATGGTTTATGGTTTTTCAACAATTTTCCCAAGCCAAACACATACTACAACTACTGCTACTATTACTACAACTACAACAACTACTACACATTCGACTACTATTACTACTCAGTGAGAAGCCGGTTTTGTAACCATCTTAAGAGTCATGAGTTCATCGCAGCGCCTCAAAGCGTGCGGTGGTTGTGTGGCCGTATTCAGAGCTGATTCATCAGTACGTGTTCAGTGTTTCCAAAAGCACATTATCATTTATAACCCAAACATCCACGAGGTCCAGGAGCCAAACGCTAACCAAACGGAAAGGCTCCGATTCAGTAGTGAGCGAGTCTGCCAACGCGGCCACTTTGAAGCGAGACAATTACTGGACTTTACAGATGTTTAGTCCAAGAACAAAAACATGGAATCTCCTGGCTCGGCACAATCCAGAGTGATTAGAGCTGGAGGTTAGGACGTTACAGGTCACAATAAACATTTTAAATAGTTTTCTTGGGGCTAATTGAGCAGACGTAAACAAGGATTTGATTCCAGAGAAATTTGGACTCTTGAGTGTAAAAAAAAACAATAAATACTTCTTTGGGGTTTTGACTGCTAACACAAAACATACTTTTATCTTTTATTGTTTTGAAAATGCTGTGTTTGCCAAAAATGTTTTATGAATTTCACTTTTCACCTCCCCTTGCTCTCCGTGTTAATCACTACCCCTTCAGAGCGCATCCTGCTGACGAAACTCCTGCACATCGCATCGGGTTTGTCAAATTGTAATGTACGGTAATGTAGTTCTGCTTCGTGTTTTTGTTTATTTATGGAGAATTGTCGAGTATTTTTGAACTTTAGAGATGAAACTGATAACGCAGGACTACTCAAACATGTGTGAATGAAACAAAGCTTAATCTAAGATCTCTTAAAGGTCACAAGAGTCAAATTTGCGTAATATAGGGCCGTAAAAATCTAAATTCATCATTCTTATGGTCAGAATGTTTCAGTGTCAGTATAATTTACATTAGGTCAATTGCATTATACATAAATGAATTCCTTTATTTAGACTTATATTCTTATTTGAGTGCACATGTTTTTGTTCATATTAGTCTTAATTATTTACTTACACTTGTTCTTTTTGTTTTTTTGAGCACCGGACAGAGGACCTTTGGAAGAGACCATTGTGACTCAACAAGGGGGGAGGGAGCACTATTTCATGATCGTATTTTCCGTATTAGTCCTGGTTTAGACCTGGTTTTAGTTCTGTTTTAGTCCTGGTTTAGACCTGGTTTAGACCTGGTTTATCCTGGTTTAGTCCTGGTTTTAGTTCTGTTTTAGTTCTGGTTTAGATCTGGTTTTAGTTCTGGTTTAAACCTGGATTTAGTTCTGTTTTACTCCTGGTTTAGATCTATTTTTAAACCTGGATTAGTCCTGGTTCAGTCCTGGTTTATTCCTGGTTTTAGACCTGGCTTAGTCCCCGTTTATTCCTGGTTTTAGACATGGTTTAGTCCTGGTTTATTTCTGGTTTTAGACCTTGTTTATTAATGGTTTTAGACCCGGTTTTGACCTGGTTTGTTCCTGGTTTTAGACCTGGTTTATTCCTGGTTTTAGTCCTGGTTTATTCCTGGTTTTAGTCCTGGTTTATTCCTGGTTTTTAGATCCTGGTTTTAGACCTGGTTTATTCCTGGTTTTAGTCCTGGTTTATTCCTGGTTTTAGATCTGGTTTAGACCTGGTTTAGTTCTGTTTTAGTTCTGTTTTAGTCCTGGTTTTAGTTCTACCCGTGCGACGTACAGGAGGAGGTATTTAATCTTTTTTTATTGCCTGGAAGTATTGCTTTATTTTGTTATTGCTGTGGTGATCTTTTGGTTTATTTTGAGTCCGTTTGGCTTTGTGTATCTGATATTTGGCCAGCGTGATAAGAGTCTTTCTGAGGAAGCAAAGATCTTTGGGAATTGAAGAAAAACAGGATCAGGAGCCCATCGTGACTCAACAAGGGGGGCGGGAGCACTATTTAGTTACTGTATTTTCTGCACTATTAGTCGCTCTGGATTCTAAGGCGCACTGTCATTAAATGGTCTATTTTCGAACTTTCTTCACAAAAAAAACGCACCGGACTTTAAACGAAACACAACAGTTGGATGGGTCAGTGGTTTTGTTTGTTTGTGGCGTTCACGGTGGCTCTGGGTTTTGTTCAGTTGTGGCGTGTAGGGAGGTGCTGTCTGGGACCACCGGATTGTCGGCGTGTTCGCAGTGACTCGGTTGTTCAGTCGTGTCTAGAAGTGGCACATTGGACTCGCTTTTTCGATTCGTTCCTCGGTTCCGTTCCTTGTTGGCGTGGAGTGATGAGTGTGTCTGTGGGTGTTTTTCGCTGCTGGGACACAGGAGTGGATTCGTGTATAGTGCGCTCTGGATTGTGGGGCGCGCAGTCGTTTTTTGATGAAGTTGGAGGCATAAGAACGCGCCCTATGATGCAGAAAATATGGTTGTTTTATTAAGTTAATTTGTTTAGTTTGCTTTAAGATCACTTTATTATCACTTATTATTTTCTGGGTCCGGTCAAGTGGTATCGGAGGGAAACAGGGGCAGATGTTTTACATTCAAATGTCTCTTATTCAGAAACTAGAGGGACTATTGAAATAAGTAAAGTATCAGAATGTAGGAAAGAGTTACACTCCAACAGGGTAAAGTTAAACCTGTGATATTCTTTCAAGTTGTTGACAAAAAATTTAAAAACTCATGTCGGTAACGGAGGGAATGAAATATGCAGCACTTTTTGGGCAATAAATACAAACAGTGATAACTCTTGGTTCTCACTTACATATCCTTAACAAACTGGTTTGAATATTTGCTTCATATAGTTTTCTACCATATGGTACAAGATTAGGTTGAAAAACCTCTTACTTTTTGACTAATGAGATTTTTTATTAAAAAGGTCATGGTAACGGACGGAGGGAAAATTGTGCAAACAAGTAGAAGGTGCAGGATTTTACATAATTTGTCGCTTTTTTCTTCCAAATACTTTAATATTACTTCAAAATGAAAGGAAACTATTTCTATAAATATGTCAGTCCTTCCAAGCAAATTTTTATCATTTTAAATACATTTTTTTTGAAAAAATCATGTACCTTCATCAACAGTTCAAAGATCAAATAACACGATATGATGAAATACATCCATTTATTTACATGATTTTGCAGGTCTTTTGAAATTTGGGAAATAATTTTTGTTCCATGTTTCATACATGGTCTGTTTAAAACATATGTAACTTTAGAACCAAAAATGGTACAGAAAAAAGGTAAACAGTTTCATAAACTAGAGTACATATGTATCTGTTCAATACATTTTTATATCAGATGCATTAACTTGAATTTTTGGCCTTGCTGTTTACTTCTGCTTGACCGGGCCCTTCTGTATTATAATTATTTGCCTTTTTGTTTTTGATTAAGTTAGTAGTTTAGTTAATTATCTGTTCAGTTTGATTTTGAGTTACCCCAGTTGGGCCCGGCTTTTGTTGTTAATAATTTGCCTAATTTGAGCCTTTGTTAAATTAGATCTTTTTATTTTTATACCTTGTCTTTGCCTTTCTGTTTGGTCCACTACAGTCTCCATAACAACCACATAAATTGGATCGGAGGCTCAGTGTTGGTAACAGTCATGTGCGAGCGCTCTGTTTTGGCAGTGTGAGCGAGCGTAGCTGGAGGTGGCTGTAAAAAAGCGCAGCTGCTGGATATAAACCTCACTTTCACCTTACAGTAACCAGGCCCAGGCTTGTCCCACCGATATCGTCTTTAAAAACAGATGCCCTACCTCCAACTACTGAGCGGCTGTAAAAGTCCTCAAGGAAAACGTGTAGAGAAAGTGTTAACAGAGAACACATGGGTCCAGCCAGTGGTGGAAGAAGTACGCAATATTGTTATTCAAGTAAAAGTACAAATCTGTGTAAGTAAAAGTATTAAAATTCCTGCTTAAAAATGTACTTAAAGAGTACGTGGTTTGGGAGCATTTCTACTAAAAACAAGAACTCCCTGAATCAGTTGGTTAAATGGGCGAGTAAGGTGATTGGCTATCCTCAGAGCCGTCTGGACTCTCTGTACTCGAGACACTTACAGAGGATGTCCCAGAGTATTTTGGGAGACGTGCAACATCCACTAAACTCAGAGTTTCAGCTGCTTCCCTCTGGTCAGAGGTTTTTAGTCCCAAGATCTAGAACGAATCGTTTTAAGAGGAGCTTCATTCCGGCTGCTATCATACTTATGAATAAATTGTAATCTATTTATTTAAGATTGTGTGTTTTTAACCTATTTAAGATTTATTTATTGTAATTTTAGACAAGTGTGTTGGATGATTTTAATTGGTTGTT